GGGGCTGGACTCCTCCCGAGAGCAGTGACTTGAAGCTTTTATACTGGGCAAGGCTGCTGCCCAGGTAACGGTGTGCATTTCGTTGTTGTTGCAGACAGTGTGGGTACAGCAAAGCCAGCCAGGACGGGGACGAGGAGCTGTACTTCCACTGTAAGTGAAGCCCGGCCGCCGTGGTCAGTTGGAGTGCGTGGGGATCCCTGCATTTATTGCTGTTAATAACGTGGCTCCTGACAAGGCAACCTCGAGTCCTTGCTTTTGAAGTGTTGTCATCCTGCATTATCCCAGAGCAGGGGCTCAGCACAGCGAGGCTCTCTGGGGACAGCGGGCTTGACAGCTTCACAAGCCAGCGCCCGTCCTTCCCGCACACAGGTCACTGCTGTGCCGAAGGAGATGGAGATGCTTTCAGCTTTCCACGGGGCGTATGCATTATTCCATCAGCTTTTCACACACGATTACATGAGAATACAGCTTTGTTTTCTGGGGCTACTCTTGATTATTGAGCAGCAATAATTTTACAGACAACTGTTGTCGGAGAAAATTCAGAAGTCAGGATTGATGAGTTTATTTGATTCCTGGCATATGCCCGTGAAGCGCACACATGCGCTCCTGCCCCTCGCAGCGCTTTGGAAGCGGCAGAGCCCCTGTGCTTCACGGGTGCAGCTCGACTGTTTCGCCTGGCTCTGAAGGGCTGAGCTGCCCCTGGGTCTTTGCTGAAGGTTTTCTGTGCACAGCGGCTGCCTGTGCTTGGGAAGGCGAGGGAAGCCGAGGTGGAAGGGCAGCCTGGGGTGGTGTGACCCTTCCCGGAGCGCTCTGCCTCTGCTCTCTGCCTGAGCACTGGCCCTGCCTGGGCCAAGCAGCTCATGGAGAACAACATCCGTGGTCCTCCCCGCCCTGCCTGGGGACAGGAGGAGATGCAGCAGAGCTGATGTGCTTCAGCTCCTGTTTTGACTGTTTGTTTTCAGGAGATGTGAATTAGGGTTTTGAGGAAGCACCGGCAAGCGGGCGGCTGTTTCTTCACCGGGTCAGCGTGGTTCTCCCGGGGGGTCGCTGGCCTGGCAGCAGATGGTGGGTGCTGGTGGGGCACATTTGCTGCCCGTGCTGCTAGTCAAGGGGCCAGGAACATAGCTGCTGTTCATTATAATAATTATCTCTCCTAGAAGTCTTGGGAGTGGAGGTGATTTGGATACTTGAGGGTTAGCCCGGTGGGCCGGACAGGCTCAGTCCGGGAGGGAGCAGCACTAGAGCGAAGGAGCTGCTCTCCGTTAACCCAGGGGCTGTGGCAGTGGAGCAGAGCGATTAGGTTCATTCAGACTCACAAGAAGTATTGTAGCAAGCTTAAATCTGAGTCTTTTGCTTTCTTAAAATAAGCTGGCAAGGCAGTCCTGCCAGCGGTTCTGAAGATGGATAACCTGCGAGGGTGGGACAGGAGAGCAGGAGCTCTT